TAATTATATTATTAGGTATAAAGGCTGTGATTTACTGCTATGTATGTTGGTTTTAAACTTTTTAGTATGATTTCACTATTTTCTTTTTGTTGATTATATATTCTTTACAGTCTTATGCTGTCTCATTCTCAAAAAAAAAGAGTCTTATGCTGTGAGATACTCCTCATCTAGGGAAGAGACCATCCTTCCTCTAAGGAATATTTAGTTTTACAAAATTTGGACCACATTTCGACTGACATAAAATGCGCCAAAGATTGTTATGTTTGTAGACAAATAAAATTCGTTAGGCTTAAGGCTCTCCCAGTAGCTGCTGTCCTATCCGTGTTCCTTAGTTTCAGATGATACTAGGAAAGCTCATAGATCATGTTCACAAATGGAGCTATATGCTGAACTGGGTAATGGCAGTTTGGTCAGCATATTCATTTTAATACCAACATTTATCATATCATCTCCTTCATTTTCTTGCACATTCCAAGCTTTTGATCTGCTTATGGATGCATCCAAATGCTATACTTGAATTGAAATGCCACCACTTACTTATTTATAAGTTGCAAGCAAAATTTCAACGACGGAATACAGTTTTAATACAAGCTCTCTCTGTCCCTACGGGGTACATCCGATAAAATTGGAGTGATACCAAACTCTCTTATCATTGGGAGTAGTTGCAGCTTATGCTATATCCATGTAACCTTTTGAATGTGATTCCAGGAACTTAAACATCAAACTTAACCCTTATGGTAGAACAATATGACCAGCCTCTAAAAGTTGCACATTTAAGTTGTATATATAGAGAGATCAAGTACTTTTAAAATTTTCCACCCAATTCATGCTTTAACTACAACAACTTACCCAGTGTTAACTCACAAGTTGGATGCATGTGCATTTATTGTCAAGGTACTATCTCAAATATTTGTAATATGTAATGTCAATATCAGTAATTTCCAACTGCTTTGCCCAATCTCATATATTTTCTCTATCATAGAGGACTACTTTATGATGTCTTCTAATATGCTTGTGGTGGGTGCACAAGCATGTGCGTACACCCACAGACATTTAGGATATGCTGTTTACACTTTACGGTTGGTATTTAGGGAGATGTTTGTATCGTCTAAAGATGTTTTGTATCATATATTAAGAAATAAAGGAAACTGAGGTATTTTTCTAATCTTGTGATTCTCTACAGAGAAAAACTGGCACTTGACTATTCCAGGCTTTTCAAGTGAAGAGAGGAAACAGTATCCAGAAAATGTATGTAGCTCTGCCTCTTTTTCTTAGCCTTTTCGTGGGTCGTACATTCCCTTCTTGTATCTGCATTAATGTAGAATAATGACATGACATGAATTATGACTACTAAAAGAGCTTTAAGGGTGTGACCTAGTGGTCAATGAAGTGGGTTGAGAACCATGAGGTCTCAGGTTCAGATCCCAGCTGAGACAAAAATAAGTGGTGATTTCTCCCCATCTGTCCTAGGCCCGGTATCTGTTGTTGTTGGGAGGTGGTAGATATCCTGTGGAATTAGTGGAGGTGAGCGCAAGCAATCCTGAACACCACGGTTATTTTAAAAAAAAAAGAATTATGACTACTAAATGTAATCTGTTACAATATCTTTAACTCATCCTTGCTCATTTGTTTAGTTGCTGATTCTAGTCCACAATTGCTGGTTATCTGCTTATTCATCAATGACTAGAGTTATTTAAGTTGCGTGGAAACTCAGGCTACTTTTTGACATAATGTTTCTAAATCTGTGCAGTCATCAAGTGATCTCCACAAAAAGCGTTTGGATGTGGTGAGTGCAATTTTATATGATAATATTACCTGTGTCGATCTTGATGGATAATTTTTGGAATCATTGTTAATTTGACGCAGATACGTACCTTGATGGAGACCTCACAAACCGAAACAAGTACAAATAGTAGTGCTAAGGAAACTGTCAGACCAGTGGCGGGTGACTCAAATCACATGATCAGACCTCCAAGTTCAGACAACATGGTTTCACAGTCTAATGCTTCTCAAATGTTGCATGAGATGACAAGGTTTTGATGGTCCCTGGAGTTCTTGGTGTATCTCCCGTGTTACCTGTACAGACCTTGATGGTAAGTATTACTTCTTTTAAGATGAATTCTACTGTGATTTGCTTGTTTTCTGGAGCGCTCAGCCTTTAGTGGCACTGAATTTTCATGCCCCATCAGTATGTTTGCACTTCACAAGCGATCCTTCTCTAGACCAATATCAGTTGCACATTGGATAAATGTGTTGTATGTAGTCTGGAGTCCTAAATCATATCTTGGCTGCTGCAAAATGATAGTAATGTTATTTCTTTTTGGGTTTCATTGCAAATCAGTAGTTTAGTTCTTAGGTACATCCGATAAAAAAATGTTTTTTGTCATATGACATGGCTCTAGTGATAAATTGGTACATCTCATTTGTTGGTGTAAAAAGCAAGTTTAGTATCGTTGCATGCGTGTTAGAATCTAAACCCTGAAGCTCTACACCACTTGACTACGGAAGCCTGCTTTCTGCTTTCCTGTAAAAGTCTAGGATGCTACCTTCGATTTCTGGCATAATTCTGAACAACACATACTGCTAAAGATATGCTGTTGTACCCCCCCATGACAATTACTAGCTGGCATGTCCTTTTCTGGACAACTCAGCATCACGTGCATATAGTAAGGCTCTATCTTGAGCCAATTGAGCATGGATTGCTGGTAGAAACAATGTTTTGCTTGGGCTTTTGGAAGTAAGTTTGCCACCACAGCTATACTTTCCAATTTTAGAGGCATCAGGAAGCTGTTCTCACATTTACATTGAAACAGCAGATGGGATCTGGTCCATCTGGAGACTTACTGCATATCTATTTATCTACTATTTTACAAGTCTCACTTTGTCATGCAATTTGCTTACAATGTTTATATTTTTTTTTTTTTGATATTCTCCATTTTGCAGATCAAGAAATGGGAGGCATAGGTTATATAGGTGTAGCATAATGGAAGTTTTTACTAGACGTTGGAGTCATCTGAAGGAACATTGCAGAATGAACCACCATGAAGGCCTGTAATTATGCAGTTTAGTTTACAGTAGCTAATTCAGCCTGTGAGGATGAAGTTGCTCAAATTTGATTTCTCCACCATACCCCTCTGGAAAACATGTTTACTATAGTCATGTAAATTACCTCCTGATGCCAAAGAATGAGGTGAAGTTGTTTGTTTTCCCCTTTATCAAACAGGTTTTATGACGTTACAAATCACAAACGGTTTTTTTTTCAAGGATACCTGTAGACTTCACAATGATATCCTTTTGACGTTTTCTTTACAAGAGGTTCGTCTTGTAAGTAGAGGGATTTAGGTGACAAACACCCTAGCAGTCACCATATTAGCGATTTAGCTAAGCTTCTGCAATATTATCAATCATCATCTCAAAAGCTATGAGAATTTACAACGTATCATAAACATATATAATTAGTACAACTTTGATAGGCAAATTAGTCGTCTATATAAGCTAGTAACCTTCATTAGGTTATATTCCTTCATGAATAAGGATAATAAGAAGCTAAGGAATCATCATATTCCTTTTCTTATTGATCATGTTATGTTTTACTTAGAGTTGAAACTCTAACGAAAAGGGAATCTCTCTTCTTTTACAATGTAGGGGTAGAATTGTGTACACGTTGTTGTTAAATAATCCATCATATACTAGCATAAATAAATCTCACTGGGAGTCGATGCACACTTTAGGCAAATGCAGATGTTGATAGAGTAATAGTATAAAAGACATATATAGCATTAGAAAAAACAACAAACTTGTGATGAAAGATATATATAGCATAATAGTTTTTCAGTGTCGAATGTCATTAAAGTACTCTAATAAGATCATTTTAATAAAAACACATTTAACCAACAAAAACATACTATAAATGAAATCCAGGAAGAGTGGTGCGTACGCAACATTACAAACAGCTCATACAACTAAAATATAGAAAAGGGTAATATATTTTCTCTCTCATAGTTATGTCATCGGGGATGTAGCTCAAATGGTAGAGCGCTCACTTTGCATGCGAGAGGCACGGGGTTCGATCCCCCACATCTCCATATGGTAGATTCATTTTTTTCATACCTTTTTTTTAATATATAACGCATGTTGAATTCTTTTTTTTCTCATACTTCATAACGTATGTAAATCATTTCTTTCTCCTACTTTATAACGTATGTTGAATTATTTTTTTCTCATACTTCATAACGTATGTAAATCATTTTTTTCTCATACTTTATAACGTATGTAAAATTATTTTTTTCTCATATCTTAACGTCTCTTGTGAGTGATGTGCATTATTTCTCTTATGTTGTCAATTTGAACTATTTCAAGCTAAACTTGAAAAGTACAATAATTTAAAATTATATCAAGTTATCAATTCAAAGAATTTGGCAAGAGTAAAACTTGACCAAAAGAAGTTTATTTTTAAAATTTCTTCAAGACTTTATGACCAATAACATTTTATTATTTGAAAATAGCGAAATGATTCAAACACGTAATTAAGAAAGCATTATAATTATGATATTATAATCTTACTTTTCGCTAATAATTGATCAAAAATTTTAGATCGAATTTTGAAAATATATCTTCAAATAGTTATTTGATTATGTAATTTGATCTTCAAATATTTCAATTTCCTCCAAAAAGTTTGGCTGTAGTTTTTTTTTTCCCGGTAGTTGTTATACACAAAACCTTTTTTGAAAAATCATGAAAATACATGTTCAAACATTACTTCAAATTTCAAAAATCAAAACTTTAAAAACCCAATAATTTTAGCTTCAAAATTTTCGATAAAACGAAAATTTACTTATCCTAAAATTTGTATTGTTTATATCTTAAGCCTTTTATTGAGATATCTTCACTAGTTTCACAAAATAAAATAACAACAACAATACTATGATCAATTTCATAAGTAATATTCAAAAAAGAAAAATGTGTAAATATCATATTCAATATCATCAAAGTAATTATAGTGTCCTGTTAATTATGTGATAATGTAAAATATTGGAATATTAACAAACCTTAAGCCGGCCTAATTGATCTTTACGCCGCCGGTGACGGATTTTCTGTAAAAGTAGTCGTCTTTCCCACCTATACCTGGCCGCCACGTGTCCTACTCCTCGGCACCCTAAGACCGACGCCGTTACACCATCCTCTGTTTCTTCCGTCCACCGATAAATTGTCCAAAAAATAAAACTTTTACCCAAAACTAAACTCAATTACTAACCAAACAGTCCCTCCCCTCATTATATACCGCCGGTCAACCGAAACCCTAACCAAAAATTCCTTCTTCATCATCTTCTCACTCAACTCTCGGATCGGCGGCGCACCGGAATCGGTTAAAGTTTATGGAGAACGACGAAGAAACTCAGTCCGGTGGTTCTGGATCTCCGGAATCACCACGATCTAACGGGAGGATAACGGTGACGGTAGCATCAGCGCCTCCTCAGAACACCTTGACGTTGGCTCTACCGATACAGCAATCGAGACCTGCTGGAGCGTCTGGCGGCGGTGGAGGTAGTGGTGGTGGAAGGGAGGATTGTTGGAGTGAAGAGGCTACGGCTGTACTGATCGAGGCTTGGGGTGAGCGTTACATGGAATTGAGTAGAGGTAATTTGAAGCAGAAGCACTGGAAAGATGTTGCTGACATTGTTAGCAGTCGGGAGGATTATAGAAAAACGCCTAAAACTGATATTCAGTGCAAAAATCGAATTGATACTGTAAAGAAGAAATACAAGCTGGAGAAATCTAAGATCGCTGCGGGTCAAGGACCAAGCAAGTGGCCTTTCTTTGATAAGCTCGATATGTTGATAGGTCCGACGGCTAAGATCAATCCTACCGTCGCTGCCGGACCGTCTAATTTGTATTCAGGTAACCAACATGTGCCTATGGGTATTCCTATGGGAGTCAGGTCCCTTCCTCAGCTCCGACAACATCAACAACTGCAGAAACAAAAGCAACCGTCCCGGAAAAGGCCTCACATGGATTCAGACACATCGGAATCGGAGTCTGAACCGGACCTTTCACCTGCTTCAACCGACAGCTTTCCTCCAGGCACATTTCAAAAAAAGAGACCAAGGTTTCAGAAGGAAATGCTGAATTCAAGCGCATTAAGGCAGGGAGGAATTGGAGAAGCTAGTGGAAACAAGAATTGGGGGAATTCAGTGAGGGAGTTGACACAGGCAATACTAAAATTTGGGGAAGCATATGAACAAACAGAGACCGCGAAACTGCATCAAATGGTGGAGATGGAGAAGCAGAGAATGAAATTTGCGAAAGATATGGAATTGCAGAGAATGCAGTTCTTCATGAATACACAATTGGAAATTGCACAGCTTAAGCACAGGAGAAGTGAAAACAGCAACCATCACAGCAACAACCATGCCGCCGCCGCCAGCAACCATAACAACAACAACAACAACAGTGATAACAGTATTTAAGGTGTAATAAAGATCCATGAGGCTCAGTATCTGACAGAGGTTTGTATTTGTAATGTGTTTAGTTTTACTGCTAAACTTCTTACTTCATTTGAAAACCAAGTGGTAGAATATTATATACTTCATTAATTCTCAATTGGAAGTTTATCTAACTCAACTAAGCTTTCCAACTTTGCCTTTACTTTTATACCATAGATTGACTTACATTTATTTGAACAACAATTAAATAGTCTTTTAACTTCTACAAACTCCATTTTGTTTATGGAGTTTAAGTTCATTGGCCTCATACAGCAACAACTTCGGTTTGCTCCCAACGATGAGAGTTCCTATTCGAGACTCAATCAAGGCTAATGTGTAAAAGGTGTTCTTGCTTTTATACAATGTTCCATAGAGTAATAGGTAGCTAAAATTAAGATAGAATAGGCCAGCACATCCTACCCTTCGGGTGGCCTAGTGATTTGGGCTTCGACTTCCATGTTGATCAATGTTTACCTGCATATAACAGGATGTGTTGCCTAATCCCAATAGTAGAAGGATTCCTTAATTGACAAAGTTTTCTTAATTAAACTTAAAGAAAATTGCTTTCCTTATTTAATTAAGGAAAATTGCGTGGAAGGTTTTCTGCTATTCAAGTCAACTGTGAGGAGGAGTTGTTGCAGTAACATAGCAAAGTTAAGGAGTTGAAGATGTGACACCTAAACTAAGTCGAAGAAGAAGTTCGAGTAGGAGTTGGGTTAAAGAAGTTTTTCTTTTTGCGGCAAAGACAAATAAGAAAAAGATTCCAAATTCAAGTTGAGTTTAAAGAAGTCAAGTTCAAGTTGAAGATGTGGCAAAAGTTAAGTTCAAGTTGAACAAGGAGTTGAAGAAAACTGAATACAAGTTCGAGTTGAACTAGGAGTACCACACAAAGTAGGAATCCTACGCGAGAGCTTCTAAGTTTCAAGAAAAAAGGAAGCAGATCGCAAGTAAGATTTCTAGTTGAAATAGGTTTCGGATTCAAGTCCAAATCTATAAATAGGGCGATAGTTTCGCTTGAGAAAATTGCGCACTTACATAGAGAAGATCAAAACTCGATCAAGAGGTTTGAGAGTTACTTGGGAGTGTTGCCAATTTGTGATGAAAAAGTTGTAAGATTGTAATTAAGAGTTTTGATTACAATTGAGTGTGTGTGTAGGATACGTCTAACAAGTTTGAGAAACTTGACGGATGATAGAAGACTTCAACCTGTGTTTTTTTTTTTGTCTTGGATAGTTAGGAATTAGAGTTTATAATTTCTTAGCTAGGAATTAGAGTTTGTAATTCTTTAGGTTAGATAGGTTTGTAATCTTTTGTTGAGACTCAGAGTTTAATAAAGTGAAGTTAAATCTTACTGAGGTGTAGGTCGTGGTTTTTACCCTTTATAAGTTGGGGTTTTTCGCGATAAATATTGTGTCATTATTTTACTTGCTTCACAAAACATAACTACTGTAATCTGCAAAGGAACAAATAAATACTTGTTCCTTCGACAAATTTGGGGGTCAGAATTCCAACACATGTTGGAGGTCTCAAGTTCGAAATCCCCTGCTTTCACCCCTTGCCAGTTAAATCTAAAGGTTTGGTTTCTGGGTCGAGCTCGTTGCACTGGGCTAACCTAATAAGGGTTACCTATCCTATGTGGTGAGCTATTACATGGGAGCGGGAATTTGACCACGTGCGAACACAAAAAGTAAGGACGATGGATTTCCCTTGTCAGGAAAAAAAAAAATAGGCCAGCACATTTTGGGGTTGAAGAATGAGCAACTATTTGTTCAATGAATATACACTCCGGGATGTTTAACAATATTGGAATCACATGAGCAACCCTTTTCTCCGTGACTTTCTTACCACTGTATTTGTTTGGGTCGAGGGTTCTCACTTGTGGAATTACACTGATATGTTGTTGTTGTATTTCCAAATAGTGTATTTTTTTTTTATAGTTATCCTTGTGTGACTTATGGTTAGCATTAGGGGTATATATAAGCCGGTTTGACTTTTCATTAAAAGAACCCAAATTAATTATATTGGTTTATTAAATTCAAAAATCAAATCAAACCACATAAAGTTGGTTTTTTCGATTTCGACTTTGGTTGGTTCTTTCAGATTTTTTTGATCTTTTCAGTTTTTTACAACTATGTAGTGTATGAAAAAGAGATCGAAAATATTTTCACTTACGTGTGCGATAAGTTAAAATTAAAAAATGTTAAATGGATAGACATTTTCAAAAAGATGATAAAATTCATACGAGTACAAATTATTATTTTTTCTGAATGTTCAATATGTTTAATTAATAAGATCAAATGCTACAATCAAACTGAATACAAATATTTACAAAGTAAATTGTTAATTTTGAATTTGAAAAACTATAACAATATTATTGTAACTTCCGATCTTATGACAAAATCAAGTATTTGCAAAATTTTACACCAAATTTAAAATAATATATATAACCACTGAAAGTTATAAACTAACTAAAAATATATTAACAAAGTATATTAAAATACTATTTTTTATCTATAAATAAAATAAAATTATATATTTATATTATATCGATTTGGTTCAAGTTCGATTTAACTTTTTTTCTTTAAATACTAAACCAAATCAAGAGCGATCAATTTTTTTTTTACGCCAATCAACTAAATGAAACCACAAATTAAAATTTTTGTCACTTAATTTGATTCGTCAATTGGATAAAAAAGTTAGGACATCAAAGTTGTCTGAAGCAATGTATATGAAATAAAGCTTCTAAAGACAATTTAAATATCTCGTTCCGAATTAATAACATCACTAAGTTAAATAAAATATCATAAAAAAAAAAAAAGAACATATAGTTATAAATTTTGAATACTTCATTTTGGAACGGTCAACAAACAGACCATAATTAGCTTTAGCCACGAAATACGGCCTAAAACAGTAAAACACACATGGAAAATGTTTTTCTAAAAACTTAAACCTACATGGAAAATGTTTTTCTAAAAAGTTAAATAAACATTTAATTATGTGATATCATGTAATCATCTGAAATTGTAAAATAGAATTAATGTTTTTTCTAAAAAACTATGTAGACGTTTGATTATGTTATCATTATCATATGCAATTATAAAATAGAATCAAGGGTTGGATATGTAATTTTATGCTAATTCCGTCTGATTTCATGTTCTTTTAAAACAGAATCAATGTTTGGACATGTAATTTACGCTAATTCCGTCTGATTTCATGTTCTTTTAAAATCATGATATGTGATTTCATATCATGATTTGAGATACTTTTAATACAATTCACAAGTTTAAATTTTGTTAAAACAACTCCACATTTATATCTACTAATCATTTATTTCAAATGTAAATATTTTCTTATTCTCACTGACATAAAATTTATTATTCTATATTCACTTTAACTCACATCAATCGATTGTTGAGTGATAAATTTGTTCTCTTCATTTATACCAATAATTAATTACTTCTATCGTTTTGTATTTATTACAACTCAAAGCAACAATGTTGGTTCATTTTCTCCATCACATGATCGAGAAAGACAAGTTCAACGTGAAAAACTTGTCCATAATACGTGAGAGATTTATATTAAAGACTAGTACACTACAATTTATGTTCAATTTCTTTTTATTGAATTAAAGTTTGACGAATTAAAGTTAGATGAAACAATTATTTAAGTGGAGAACAAATAGTTTTGTAATAATTTATTATGTGATTTTATAAATTTTTATTTATCTGGTAAGATTAAATAAACAATTGAAGCTATTTTAATAGTTTTACAACTTATGAAATTCTTATATTTATGAAAAAATATACAACAAAAAGTTTTATATTGCATGTCCAAACAAAACTTCAATTTCTTAACATAATTTCATATTATGATAGCATATCACATGCCCAAACACCTTAATATCAGTGAAGTGAGGAGGAATATTTGGGAAGAGCTATGGGTTGGATATAACTCCACAACTTTCTAGTAATGTCTCAAAGTTCGTTTAATATATTATTAATAAGTAATTATTTAAAATTTAATAAATAAAAAAAAATTATGATTGACGAAACTCATAACTAAAAATTTTGACTCTGACTCAAAAAAAACAGTCATGAGTAACACTTATTCTTGTTGGGCCAAAGTGTGAGAAACAAGTTTGTTCATAATGTATATGTATGCCTTTAACGGTTTTAAGGGGAATAATTTTTTTAAAAAAAAATAGCTACTGACAATAATTTTATTTACTATGTACAATACGATTTCTCTATAATGACATTATTGTTTGAATATTTTAGTTGTTATAGTCAAACTACTATTATACATCTATATTAATATTTAAATCTTGTTACACATTTATATTAACATTTAAAAAAGGATGAAAATTTTTGTTATTATTATTTTATTAATTGAATTGTGCACTAATCCATATGAAACGATCTACAAATCATGAATAATAAGTAGTACGCATTTAGTGAACACATAATAATTAAAATAGCTAATAGATAAGGGGGTAATACTAAATATTGCTACCCATATAATTTATAAAAGATTTTCAGATAGTTATTAGAATTAATTAATCTTAGAATAAGCTTAATTAGTTGGTGGTTTAAGGTAATGAGATGAACATGAACTTTAATTAATAAAGTCAAAGAAAGAACATTTCCTTTTGCCAGTTATGTCAGAAAACCAGATTCAATTTTGATACTATTACTCCTATATAACATATCGTTGCACGTTAATATTGAATATTTTATGTATTATACAAATTAATCTTAATTAAAATATCATTGACAATTATCACCTAAATGTTTTTTCCTTGGATGCAACTAATATTGCATTACTAAATGCTTGTGCATAATATTGGATATTCATTATCAGTAGTTTAATCAGTAAATTTCGTTATATACAATTAGTTAATTCTATAATGAAACATGTCATTGCACGTTGATATAAATTTATTAGTAAATACTTGTTAAAAAAAAGAGTATATATTACAGTATATTCTGACAAAAATCATATCCCCATTTCAAAAAAAAAAAAAGGAAACTTATCTATCAATTTTATGATTTAAAAATATATATATTTAATTTAATCTTAATAAAATTCACAAATTATAATGCTTCGCTTAAATATAAAAAAGTGTCCGCTAACAATGTAAAAAAAATATATGATTGAATTTTCAAAACTAAAGATATTATATATTTTAAATTGAATTTTCCTTTTTATTACTATGCTTTTACCCTCGATTCATTGCTGAAACCTTTATTACGAAAAAAGTACCACAAAAAATTGTTGAAATCTAAATATTTTAATTATTTTGTTACTTTATATCATTAGCTATTTTCTTAATATTTACCCAAATAATTAACATTTTCCACTTTAAAGAGTAGAAAATAGTAGATAAAATTTATTAATACAGTACTAATTAATAATAAATAGTCGAAAACTTTGAAAGAAAAAGGAGCCAAAAAAGTAATTTGAAAATTGTTTGTGTTGATTTTCTAAACCTTAAAATAGTAATAATTAACACTCATTCATAATTAATGCGGTGTTGGTACAGTAGTAGATTGAAAATTTGTTATGGTAGAGAGTAGTAACCCTCGAGTGAGATACCTCTTTCGACATGAATCTGAATTGATTGAGTTTCAACACGAATATTAAACACGAAAGAAATAATTATAGAGGGGGAGACAACAACAACGTGGCATTCATTGATTGGTTAATTTGAAAACATCTACCCGCATAATGAAATTTCTCTTTTGTCTTTCATCCTAGTAGTAGTTATTAAAGATTACTTATTTTGTCCGAAACTTATTTTCTTCTCTCTTTCTCTCTCTACTGTATCTACTATATACTTATTCACTCTCCATTTTTTCCTCTGTAACTCTCTCTGTATTGTACATACAATTTCTTTTATTAATAAATAAATGGAAAAATAAAGAAGATCATTTGAGAGAAGAGTAAAGCAAAATCCATTGTAGGGTTTTCATTGAAATTGGTGAAAACCCCCAAAACCCATTCTTCAGAAATTTATAAATTTGAAGTCTTTTTTATCCAACTGACATTCAGCTGAAAGAACTAAAATGTCGGTTTGTGTATGAACCTGATTCGGCCGATCTAGCTCCATAATTCAAGATCTCCGCCTTCACATTGCATTGGGTGAGTTTTGATTTGTACGATCGTCTCATCATTTTCCCCTAATTACTTATTGTTAGGGTTTTATGTTCAATGACATTGACTTATAAAGACTTCAATAATTTAGCTTAAAAGATTGGATTTTTTTTAGCATTTGGAACTGTGTTTTGCATATAAGTGGATCTGAACGAAATGTGTTTTTCAGCAATGTACATTATATTGA